GGCTACTGTGAACAGTGCTGCAATGAACATATAGGTACAAATGTCATTTCTACTGTGCTTTTTTGCATCTACCCTGAGGATTTTTACCATTTCTTAAGGAAGGCCTTGTTCTATCTTTTTTATAAGTTATTTACAGTTTTCATATTATCGATATCTTACATTCTTGTTGATTCCTAGGTATGTGATTTTTTAAGACATTATTTTGAATAAAGTAGACTCCGATCTGTTTCTCTTCCAGTTCTTCTAGCTATCTCCATATAGGAGTGTGCAAATTTCTGCGGCTGACATTCTAGCTGGCTGCTTTGCTATACCAGTTTATTATTTCGAGGAGTTCTTTAGTGGACTCTTTAGAGTTGACTATGCATGTTATAATACCATCCACAGAGGAGAGCTATTTCTCTTCACAAATCATTTCCCCATGGCCATCATCTACCTCTCTTTCAAGAAACATAAACATGCTGCTCTGCTTCTCCCACAGAGCTCCAAACCAGATAATCCACTGGTTCCAGAGGATACTTACTTTGGAAATTAGAACAGTAATTGATTTCTCGCCATCTAAGGGATGAATGAGTTCTGTCAATTAGATATTTCCTGTTTTCATTATCAGCAGTGATGCATATTTATATCTGAATGTTCAATGACCACTTATTTGAAAAGTATAGAGCCCAACCTTTTTCTCTGGAGGATTTTCATCACCACCACCATCCTCACCATTATTTTAACCTCATCTATTAGTTTCATGGTGGATGATAAATTTGAATCTTTATGTCCCCACAACAAATAAAATTAAGGAAATTTACTCTTTGAGTAAGGCTGGAGCGATAGCACAGCGGGTAGGGCGTTTGCCTCGCATGCAGCCAACATGGCCGACCGGAGTTCTATTCCCCCGCCCCTCTTGGAGAGCCTGACAAGCTACTGAGAGTATCTCGCCCTAAAGCCTGGCAAACTCCCCGTGATGTATTTGATATGCCAAACACAGTAACAACAAAGTCTCAAAATGGAGACATTCCTGGGCCTGCTTGAGAAAATCGCTGAACAACGAGAGGACATTGACAGTGACAGTGACTCTTTGAGTAGAAAATACTAAAACCAGATCAAGCTTAGCAAGACAGGTTATTACCAACACTAAGGCCGCCATTAGATTTTTACAACTTAATTAAATCACTAACTAAATCTGTGTAGCATTCCTTCTTTTCTCTGAGGAAGCTCTCAAGTTATTAGTGTTTTTCCCCAGGTCTTCACAACTTTACCAGTACTCTGCAGTTGAATGTGCTTATCACCCACCTGTATTCAGGGAGATCTACTGGACAAAAACATATTCTTCCTGGGATATATTTCTATGTTCCTTTTCAAAAATTTTGTTTGGCTTTGGGACCATGCCGGCTGTGCTCAGGTCTTATTCCTAACTCTGTGCTCAGGGATCACTCCTGAGAGTGTTTGGGGGATGATATGTGGTTCCAGGAATTGAATCAGAGTCTGCCACATGCAAGGCAAGTGCCTTACCCCATGTACTGTTCCTCTGGCTCTTCTGTTTCTAAGCCCATTATTAGTCCACATGGGAGAACAGAAGCTATCATTAGATTTGATTAATGGTAACCAATTACATGTTAGTTGCGATAATTATATTTTTGCAACAGAAAATGCCTCTCCTCTTTTATCAGTTACATGAAATATTTTCTAATGTCAAAATAATATGGCAATCACAAATAATTTTACAACTGTGGGATATTGGGTGCTTCTAAAAAGGGGTATTAGACCAGTTATTTCTGATTATCATAATGAAAAGGACTCAAAATTTTTTCCCCCAGTTAATGGTCTAACTTCTGTTCCTTTTAGAGTGAAGCAACAAAGGTGAGAATTACTGACTCTGGATCCAAAGGATGAGCTATGCCACTTCAGAAAGGTTTTCGCTGTGTGTCTGGTCATATTTCCCTTAATTGTCTCATTATTTTTTGTTTTATTCCTTGATTGTATATAATAGTTTTCAATTCTTAACTTTAAAGTACAAAAGAGTCTGTCTTACATTTTTCTCTCCAGAGCCACACAAAGTTTCTTTCTTTTTTTTTTTTTTGAGTTGCATTTGGCCTTATTTTTTCTGATTGTTTTCCACACTATAAAAGAGATTTCTACTCTTTAACAAATTGTTCTGGCAGAACTGGACAGCTACATGCAAAAAAATCGGCTCAAATCTCTACCTAACACCATGTACAAAAGTAAGATCAAAATGGATTAAAAACCTCAACATCAGACCGGAATCCATATGGTACACTGAAGACAAGGTTGGAAAAACCCTCCACGACATTGAAGCTAACGGTATCTTCAAAGATGACACGCCACTGGCCAAGCAAGTGAAAATAGAGATAGATAAATGGGACTATGTTAAACTAAGAAACCTCTAAACCTCAAAAGAAACAGTGGCCAAAATACAAAGTCTACAGAAGGGGAAAGGATATTCGCCCAATACCCATCCGACAAGGGGTTGTTATCAAGGATATACAAAGTACTGGTTGAACTCCACAAGAAGAAAATATCCAAACCCATGAAAAAATAGGGCGATGAAATGAACAGAAACTTTCTCAAAGAAGAAATCTGAATGGCAAAAAGGCACATGAGAAAATGCTCTGATTAAAAGGCAGATGAGAAAATGGCCCACATCCAAAAGATCAAAAGCAACCAGTGTTGGTGCGAATGTGGCGTGAAAGGGACCCTCCTTCACTGCTGGTGGGAATGCCGACTGGTTCAGCCCTTTGGGAAAACAGTATGGACGATTCTCAAAAAATTAGAAACTGAGCTCCCATTTGACCCAGCAATACCTCTCCTGGGAATGTATCCCAGAGAGGCAAAAAAGTACAGTCGAAATGACATCTGCACTTCTATGTTCATTGCTGCACTGTTCACAATAGTGAAAATTTGGAAAAAAAACCTGAGTGCCCGAGAACAGATGACTGGTTAAAGAAACTGTGGTACATCTACACAATGGAATACTATGCAGCTGTTAGAAAAGATGAAGTCATGAAATTTACATACAAGTGGTTCTACATGGAAAGTATCATGCTAAGTGAAATGAGCCAGAAAGAGAGGGGCAGTCATAAAAAGATTGCACTCATCTGGTGAATATAAAGTAACAGAATGGGAGTGAAGCACCTAAGAATAATTGAGATAAGTACCAGGAGGTCTGCTCCAGGGCTTGGAAGCCGGCCTCATATGCAGGGGCAAAAGGCAGCTCAGACAGAGAAGGGAACACCAAGTAAAGGGTGTTTGGAGGACTTGTTCGGGATGCGAGATGCGTGCTGAAAGTAGACTATAGACTGAACATGATGGCCACTCAAAACCTCTATTGAAAACTACAACACCCTAAAGGAAATAGTGAGCAAAAGGGAGTGCTCTGCCACAGAGGCGGAGTGAGGTGGGTAGGGGATGAGGTGTGGGGGTGGGAGGGCTACTAGGATCATTGCTGGTGGAGAATGGGCACTGGTGGAGGGATAAGTACTTGATCATTGTATAACTGAAACTTGAGCACAAAAGTTTTTAAGTCTAAACTGTACCTCATGGTGTTTCACTAATAAAAAAAAATAAAAGTAAAAGGAATTTCTAGCCTTGCTCCATTATGCAGCATAAATTAAACAAATATTTAAAAAAATCAGTGATTTTGGAATTTTCTACTCACTCCAACCTACTCCATTCTCTTACAATCCCAAGAAGGGAAAACATATACTTTCTTACCTAATTCTACACCAGAAGAAAGAAGAAGGGGAAAAAAGGATCACAGAAAACAGCCTATAAAATGGATAAGAACTAAAAAATGATTTCAGTCTTTCAATTTTTAGCATTTTTGTCTCTCTTCCTCAGTCTATGCTAATGAGATACTCCTAAGTACAGAAAGAAATATAAATATCATTAGAGATATAAGAAGGTGAAAGGGAGAGTTGGAAAGACAGGAAAACACCCTATTGCATTCAGTACTTGTTGCATAATTATCAGAAAAAACAATTAAATTCTATGAAAATAAAGTTCATCAATGAAGTACAACATTAATACCTGCCCTGTCAGTCTCTTTTTTGTGTATGTGGTGCCAGAGAAGGAATCCTGCACCTCATATGTGTGAGGTATCTCTTCTAATACTGTGCCGTATCTTTCCCATTCTTACGGTAAGTATCGAAGTGATAAACGCAAAACTGCTTTTAACTTGAAAATAATTTAATATTTTTTATTTATTATGTTTGAATACCTCTTTTGTTTCAAGTACCTATAATTTTTTTGCGTGTAAAAACTTAATCCCTATTATAACCTTATGAGGACATTAGTATTACTATCTTTACTTCACTTTAAAAACATGAAGACTCAGAAGATAAACCAATACAAGATTTTAAAGGTTTTAAATATGAGAGGTGATGCAAACACAGGCTATCAGAGATCTGAGCTTTATCATCTCCAGGATCAAAGCTAAATTTAAAATTATGTCATCTTAGAACAGAATTTAGAAAGTTGGATATTTTGTACTAATAAAGCTCACTTCTATAATGATAGGAAGTATTCAATAGTAGGAATAATTACTAGGGCCTGAAAAAGAAATAGCTGGTCCATAAAGGAGGAGGTCAGTTTTGCATGCATATGGACAAAATAATTTTGAAAGTCAACAGGGACTTAGTACAAAATTACTGTTCAGTCTTAACAGAAGAGATCACACTCATTGTGGGTGGTTAGGGCAAAAGATGAAATAAGTCAAACCGATAAAGCACATAGATATGCTTATGCTGTATTTAGACGGACATTAATAGAAAATGTTTATGTGCCCAGATTTCTGCAATTCAGCCAATGACTATAACCAAGGCCAGATGGAGGTTTTACTGACATAACACAAGTAGAAATAGTGCAATTTTTCTTTCATCTTGAATCTAGGTATATTCGCTTTATAGACACAGATTGCTGTTTCTAATTATTATAAGATAATAAAATTTAGGTATAAAAATAAACCTCTGTTCTTAATTACCCACCCATACCTGCTACCTGGAGAAAACCTATTGACTTCTTTTTCTTTCCATTTCTTTCCTTTGTTGGAATTCCTTCGCAAAGGTGCCCTATAATGACAGTACATAATCAGAAGAGAGAGATGATTTCCCCTTTATTGCTCTTTCCAAGGGTCTCGCTCTTTCATATCATGAAGTGCTTACCCCAGATCCACAAACTTCTTCTTAATTTTTCCACCTTGAACTACCAATGGACTGGATGCTGTTAATGACCTGGGACCTTTAGCACCACCTAGAAGACATATATGGAAAAAGACTTTAATTTTAAAAGCCTTACATCAAACATCAGTACATCATTGAATCTAAGGAGTTTGTCTCAATTTCCTCACTGCAAAAGAAAACAAATGATATCTATTTGTCAAGATAGAGGAAACATAAAATGGCGAGGAACATTCAATTATTAGAGGAAAGAAGTCAAATGCTCATCCTTGCTCAGGTAAAGTTTTAGCTTTAAATATACTGGGGTAAAAGAAATCATCAAGGAGGAACACAATCAAATTATTCTTTCTATAAAAACATGTTGTTCCTTTTGTTCCTGCTTTGGCTCAAGCTTATTTCTTCAAATGTTTGTCCTCTATCCCTGTTCCTTTGTCACCTTTGAGTTCTGGCTACTTATGGCAGAAAACAGGATAGTTTCCCCATATCTACAAAATTCAGTACAGAACATGACTCCTGAGAGACTGGGAGAGAATGAGAGTCCAAGTTTTCTCTTTTGGTCTCTTGCTTACTAATGCTCTATGGTAAGTTCTAAGACAAAGATGAACAGAACATGGAAGACAATTCTTAAGGGAAAGATGAAGGCTTTCTATGTTAGAAAGGTTTCTCTTGGAAGTTAGGGTAGAGCACAAGTTGGTGGGTCTCCTGTCATGTGAAAGAAGCCAACATCAAGTACTTGCCATAGCAGTTAGGGAAGAAAGAGATATTAAGGTCATCCGTATAGGAAAGGAAGAAGTCAAGCTCTCACTATTTGCAGGTGACATGATACTTGTTATTGTTTTTGGAATATTATATAAGCCATGGGTAGCTTGCCAGGCTCTGCCGAGTGGGCGGGATACTCTCGGTAGCTTGCTGGGCTCTCCAAGAGGGATAGACAAATCAAACTCAGGTCAGCAGCATGCAACACAAACGCCCTATCCGCTGTGTTATCACTCTGGGGCCGAAGCGATAGCAGAGGCTGGGGGGGACATGATACTATCTTAGAGATCCCTAAAGTCTCTACCAAATAGCTCCTAGAAACAACAGTTTTGTACAGTAAGTGACAGGTTACAAAATCATACCCCAAAACCCATGAGTTTCTTATATGCAAATAATGAAGGAGAAGAAAGTGATATTTAAAAAAAATCCCATTTACGGGGCTGGAGAGATAGCACAGCGGGTATGGCATTTGCCTTGCACACAGCCAACCCGGGATCGATTCCCAGCATCCATATGGTCTCCTGAGCACCACCAGGAGTAACTCCTGAGTGCAGAGCCAGGAATAACCCCTGTGCATCACCTGGTGTGACCCAAAAAGAAAAAAAATCCCATTTACAATCATGCCTCAGAAAGCCAAGTATCTTGGAATCAGCTTAAATAAGGAGGTAAAGGACATGTACAAAGAAAACTACAAAATGTTACTTCAAGAAATAAAAGAGGACATAACGAAATGGAGACACACATCCTGCTCATGGATTTGGAGAATTACCGTTGTCAAAAAGGCACCCAAAGCATTAATATAGATCCATTGCAGTCCCTATAAGGATACCCATGACATCTTTCAAAAAATTGGTCAAATACTCCTGAAATTCATGTGGGATGATAAACCACAACAAATAGCTAAAGCAATCCTCAGAAAACAGAAGATGGAAGCATCACTTTCAAACTGTACTACAAAATGGTAGTAATTAAAACAACATGGGTGGAATAAAGACAGACCCGCAGACCAATGGAATAGAGTTGAATATCCTGACACACTCTCAAGTATATGATCATTTAATCTTTGATAAGGAAACACGGGGAAACAAGAAATATGAAGTGGTGCAAGGAAAGTCTCTTTTAACAATGGTGCTGGGAAAACTGGACAGCTACATGCAAAAAAAAAGGACTTAGACCGTTATCTAGCATTGTAAAAAAAAAAAAAGGACTTAGACCGTTATCTAGCATTGTGCACAAAGTCAAACGAAAATGGATTAGAGACCTCAATAACCAGACCCAAATCCATGAGGTACATGGAAGAAAATGTAGGCAAAACTCTCCACGACACTGAAGCTAAAGGTATCTTCGAAGAAGAAACACCACTGACAAAGGAAGTGGAAGCAAAGTTAAACAAATGGGATTACATTAAATTCACAAACTTCTGCACCTCAAAAGAAACAGTGACCGTGATACAAAGACAGCCTATGGAATGGGAAAGGTTATTCACCCAATACACTTCTGGTATTAGTTAATATCAAACATATGGAAGGTACTGGTAGAACTTTAAAGAAAAAAAATCCAATCCCATCAAAAAGTGCCAAGAGGAAATGAACAGAAATTTCCTCAAAGAAGAAATTCAAATGCCAAAATGCACATGAAAAAGTGCTTTTTATTACTAATCACCAGGGAGATGCAAGTCAAAACAACAATGAGATATCATCTCATACACAGAGACTGGCATGAACCCAAAAGAATAAGAACAACCAGTGTTGGCATGGATGCGAAGAGAAAGGGATTCTCCTTCACTGTTGGTTGGAATGTTGACTGGTCCAGCCTTTTTGGAAACAATATGGGCATTCCTCAAAACTCTATATTTTGTGCTACTATTTGATTCAGAAATACCATTTCTGGGATTATACCCTGGGAGACCAAAAACACACAGCAGAAATACTATCTGCACACCTATGTTCATCATAGCACTATTCACAATAGCCAGAATTTGGAAACAACCCAAGTGCCTGAAAACAGACAAATGGATAAAGAAACTATGGTACATCTACACAGTGGAATACTACAGAGCTGTTAGGAAAATGAAAAGATAAAATTTGCTTATAAATGGATGTACATGGAGAGGATCATGCTGAATGAAATGAAACAGAAGGAGAAGGACAGATACAGAATGACTGCACTCATTTGTGGTACATAAAAATACATAGTAGAAGACTAATATCCAACGCCAGGGAAAACAGGGACTAGGAGGACTGGTCAATGGTTGGAATCTACCGCAAGTGTGTGTGGGGTGGAATATAGGTAAGAAAGAGAAAGGACCAGTATGACAGTATGACAAAAATAGTTGGACATGATCAGCTCAATAAGAACTGAGTGTAGTAGCTAAAGGGTTATACATGACAACCTTTCAGTATCTGTATTGCAAACCACAATGCCAAAAAGGGGAGAGGGGAGGATAGAGAGGGAGAGAAAGAGAGAGGGGAGGAAAGAGAGAGGGGAGGAAAGAGAGAGGGAAAGAGAAAGAGAAAGAGAAAGAGAGAGAAAGAAAGAAAAATAGAAAGAGAGAAAGAGAGTGACTGCCAGAAGAGTGCCTGCCATAGAGGCAGGCTGCGGGTGGGGTAGGGGGTGATGGAAGTGAAACTGGGGATACTGGTGCTAGGAAATGTGGAGGGTGTTGGAAACTGTATGTGGACACTGGTGGAGGGATGGGTGTTGGAATACTGTATGACTGAAATCTAATCATAAATAGCTTTGTAAGGGTCTATCTCACAGTGATTCAATAAAAAAGTCTTGGGGAACAAAAAAATAAATATGCCAAAATATTTTTAGTGTTGGAGCTGAAAGATCTTTGCCTCTTTCAGTGACTTTGGCACTCTGAATGGCAGTATCTGATAGAGGATAAAGCATCTGATGTCCAAAGACAGTTAAAGGGGAAGCTTTGCAAATAGGACTCAATGTCATATGTAGGGATTAGATCCCATTTTACATTGGACAAGGTAGATAGTTCTAATGGCTCTACCTGTAATGATCTAGGGTGGGTTCTGTCAGCATATATAATTATCTGACATGACTATCAAATAACATTAATTAAAAACAATGTGATACATTGTGTGTGAAATTACTCATTCTTAATTATCTGTGGGCATGCAACTTCAAAAATATTTTAGATTCAGGAATTTTGTTGCTATAGTGTGTAAAAAGATCATCTTAAGAAGATATTCATTAAATTCTTGGGTTAATTTTGCTTATCATTTTTATTTCAGGAGGAAATTGTAAACATATATATATTTAAAATAACATGAAGAGCAGGCACATTTCTTATTCAGAAGTCTATTTCAAAGCTCTAAAGCATTACAGGATGTTGACAAACACCCCAAACACTTTTAGCAATGAGTTTTCATATATTTAGTTAATCACACAGAGATTACAACAATCAAGTCCTTGAAACGTACATAATGAAATACAAGAGTTAAAAAATGGCATGTCAAATCCACTTCTAGCTTCAAATATTTATTATGGGCATTTTCATCATCATTACTCTTTGGAAAACTGAATTAAAAAGTACAGATGTGACACACGCACACACACACACACAAAATTTCCACAGACATGGCACAGATATCATCTTAGGTTATTTTGCTAATGGACATTTTTAAAAAGCAGGATTCCAATTTTCTTAATAGAAACAGAAGAAAAGAAAGTGCAGGATTCTTCTAAATCAATCCTAAAGACCCCTTTAATGACTAGGACTGCAAAGTTAAAAAGGATGCTGCCTAATTATTTTTTGAATTAGAGGGTAGCTGGGAGATATTTAACAAGTGGTCAGATGACTAGTTGAGACAATGCACATGGAAACACTCTGTAACCTATTAGTGTTGCTGCTACTCCAACATCTTGGAACTAAAAGCCTGAGTCTGCTCATCACAGAGGCTGCTGCTAGGCAACCTCACTGCATTATCTCATACATTTGCCAAAGTGTGTTCCAAGGAACACTTGAATGCTTTCAAAGGGATGAAGAGGCATGATTGGGTAATAATGCACTTCCCCATTTAAAATCAATCAAATATATCTTTTATTTGTGCACATTAGAACTTCTAGTCTGCATAAAAACTAATTCTGAGTTTTAGAAAAAGAAAAAGAATTACGCTGTTTTGTTCATTTAGATTTAAGTAAAAATCCCATTAATCTTTTTGAGATTATGCCAATACTATCCTCGTAAGCAATCAGAAGTCTAAACCTTCAAATGGAGTTATCCAACATTAATCTTTCATAATCTGTTCTTTATTTTCAAAGGTAATAAAGGATTTTCTTACTTTTTGGGGGGGAGGG